GCCCAGCCCCCCCCCCCCTCTCGGCAGTGTACTCACTTCCTGTGCCAGACCCTCAGAACGCACCAGCATCATTCTGCATTTTAACAGCCGCTGTGAACATGGGAACTGAACCTAGAGCTTCGCGTGGTCTCGTTTGGACAAACGAAGGTGTAGAATTATCCTCCGTGCCGCGCTGGAAGCCCACGTAGCTAGTTAGTTTGCGCGGCGCCATTATTGTTTTTGTTTGTTCTCCGCTACTGCGCATGTCCAAATGTACGTGGCGGGGAGCAGCGCGGAGGCGGGGGTCAGAGCAGAGGGGGATTTCACACCTATTCCCCTCTCGCGGGTGTGAAAAAGCTCCCTGCTGTGCAGCGTTTCTGAGTTGTCCCACTCTGCAGGCTGGATCTGAACACTTACGTTTTCACCTGAAACACAGTCTTCGTATGAACGGTTGGTAGCAACCGACATCCAACTATACCGTTTTACTGCCACATTGTCTCCGTGTAAACTCAGCCTTAGTTAAGAGAGCATTCTTTCTCTTTCATTCTTGGGAGGCAGCACACCACCTCGTTGTAAATCTGCAAAAGGAGTTAATCCCTTCCACCTGTTAAAGCTGCACTAACTGACTTTGGGATTTTAAAGACACAGACTCGCTGGCCTCGCTCTTTCAGCTCCCCTCCCCGCAACCACGAAGCTATCGCTCCCCACACACACCCACTGTTGTTGACGGAGCTAGCGTCTCCCAATATGGATATTATGGATTAGCTAGGTTAGGTTAGCTCCGCCGCTTGTTGTGCTAACTCAGCTGTCTGTGCTAACGGACCTGTAGATTTCTCACGAAAGTGGGGGCCAGTGGTGCGCTGTGATTGGTCACAATCTGCGACCCAAAACACATTCTCTTCCTTATTTCATCAAAACTCGATCTAAAATATTATGTCACGCCAGCACAAATCTGCACTACTTTTTCTTCAAAAGGACGTATATTCCAATGCACTACATGGACATGGATAGCATTTTCGTAATTAATACAAAAATAAAGTCAGTCAGTGCAGCTTTAAGGGAGCTCAATTGAGAAAATACAGACCCTATAGTAAGAAATGAGTTAGTACAATGGTATGGAAAGACTAGGCTAGAAAGGACTATGTTTTGTCAACAGCTGAACAGTTAGCTTCTGCTGATTTGTTTACCTCGAACTTAGCGTGAGGCTACGTCACGGCTCGAGTGGGGGGAGGCGTGCTCATGGGCAGAAGAGCAGAGATTCAAGCGTTTCTATTGAGGTGACACCTCTAGGCATGAAATGGCTACAATTTGACAAGTTTTGACTGTTGTATGGGGTATCACCCAAATTATTATCACACATGTGCTTACAATGTCCAGTGAAAAATGATGAAAAGCAAAAAATGGGACTTTTAAGTTACATAAGTATCTTGTCTAAACTTCAGGTACCAAATATTTCTAGATCTAAAAGTATACTTAACTGCTTGAAATCATGTTGTGTCACAGTTAGGCACATTGGATCTTTTTCTCAGGATTAGTAAGTATTAGAATGTTCCGTGGTCCTTGATGCTTTGGCTGCTGTGGTGGGAGGTGTTATAATAATAAGTGTGCAATCGAAGGATAAACTTCGATTGGCATTTTAGGAACAGTGCAGTGAATACAGCCAAGGATTTAAACAGTATTAAGTAAAAACTCCAGAAGGAAATTGGGTCAAAGCACTTACTGCTAAGATTAAAATAATCCAAAGTATCTGTAAATCAATAGTGTTTGGGTCTAGAGTGGAAATTCAATATTTAATAGAAGTTTGTTTAATATAGGGTCTTTGAAGATGTCATCGGAGTAGATATGGCTTGGATTTGTATACTAATATTGGAACATCTGCAGTTAATAAAGCATGTAAACCTCTTTTTTCTCACTGTTATCCCACTGTTTTTTGTTTTAATTGTTCCTTATCGATGCAGGAGAGAAATGTCAGTGATGATCCAAGACATTTATGGACATTTATGGACATGGTCATCTACCCCCTATGGACCAATGGCTCGTATTCTCTGATCTGTTGTTAGTGAATCGACAACTTTGTAAAGTCCTTACAGATGACTGCTGTTTTGATTTAGGACAATACAATAACCCTCCACTAACAGAGAACCCTAGTTGGGTTTAGACCGTGGTGAGACAGATTAGGTTGACCCGGCTGATGATGTGTTTTTGCAATAGTAATTCTAGTAGTAGTAGTAGTCACCTATGGAAATACTATTGCTTGTAAAATGTTATGCGTTTTTAAATACTACTCAAAATAAGTCATAAATAGAAATACATTATTTTATTTTTGTCATAATATTACCAATAAAGATCAATTTCATCAATAAAATAAATACAATCCCTCTTATAAACTGCAGTATTTATTTACATATAATTCACAAACTATTCTGAGTTCCGTGCTACTGAATCAAAAATCAAAATCCTCTCTAAAGTGCCATCGAAGGAGTCTTTCTGGAGCCTTCATGTGACTAACTCTTCTATACCAAGAAACTACTGGAAACGGCAAAGAATTGCTACTTCCTGCTGGTCCATTAGCGGCTACAAGTCTTGGTAAAATGCTCTAATTAGATCTTGCCCAATACATACAGTCTTCCAATTCTCACTTTCCACTGGGACTGCTAGAATCCTTGCAAATCAAAGGAAGAACATATTAAGCTGCTTACAAAGGTGGCTTCAACTACACAAGTGTGTCTGTTGAGCGATTTCAAAGTAATTCCCCCGTTATAAAAATGTCTACAGTATATGTGAGCTCCATTTGTGAAAGTGCCTGGTAGCGTGCAAGAACGACTTTTACTAGGATGCTTTGTACTACAGTATAGGCATGTGTATATAATATGGTCTCAGCATGTCTGGATTCAAAAACTCAGAAAAAATAAGCAATCATTCAAAAAAAGTCCATTTAAATTCAACTCGTGAAACTAATGACATACTCATTACAGCCAAGTGACAAATATCAATAATGTATTTGTTTTATGTAAATAATTATGGCTCAAATAAGAAAAAAATTATGTAATTACAGTTATAATATTTAGAAAATGGACGGTAAGACATAATCATTGAAATTATAACAAACAAAACTTGGAATTTGTCACTTTGCTTGTAAGGAGTCTATATCATACTTTGGTTTCATTTGTAAGTTGTATAAAGGAAATAAATTAACGATATTGTAACTTTCTGAGTTCCACCTCCCGTATTTGCTGTCATTAAAAAACTTACAATTAGATCAAAACCTAAAACAATTTCAAATGAAACCGTCGATTCATTTTGTAAACTGTTTTGAACAACTTTTATGTTTTCAACGCATCCCCTAATTGCTTTTTATGTTACAGCTGTAAATCCTCTTTCTGTCGCAGACCACTATGGCTTATTGGATTACTTTCTGCAAACTTGGCCTACATACCAGGCCATAGCATGTAAGGACCAAAACAACATCTCCTCTGGTGACAAAGCAAATCACACAAACAATAATACACTAAACAGGAAAGTGAATGTAGCATTGCTTGCATTTGGTTAGCAGTGGAAAAAATAAATATATTTCCATACAGTTTTGTGTCAGTAAAACCGTTAGTGGCAAGTGCATGTACCATTTCCTTTCTTGTCCTTCCTGAGTTGGGTGACCTCGAGTATTGTATATTGCGAGTAAATGTGCTGAACTCGGCTGAGAAGAGAAGGACAAATAATCAGGTTACGAAAAAGCTCTGGGGGCGGCACGTAATGTCTCTTTGTCACACTTTGCCACAATTGGAATTCCTTTGCGTGGATTTGTATCTGTCATTGGCCATTTTCTTCTCGGGCCTCAACGCTTCCGTCTTATTGTGATGTTTGGTGGGTTAAGCCAGTGGTTCCCAACCTTTTTTGGGCTGTATACCCCATCGACAGCATGGGCATGGCATGTACCCCTTGTTATCGCGCTCATACCCCGGTCAAAATCTCAAAGTCAATTTTGGACTGGGATATATCGTGAATTTGTGGTACGTTTGTTAAAAACTCATATTTGGCATCTAAGTATTAATTTCCAAATGGTCACTTTAATTTAATTTGCATTTAGTATTATTTTTTAACAGATTGAATATAAGTAAGGCTTTTTATTGCTGACTTTTGTAGAGGCCCAGTGGCTGCATGAGTGGTCAGCATGGCACCTTTAAGTCACATCACAGTGGTCTGCAGGATGCTATTGGATCAATTGTACAAAACTATTAATCCTGGATCTCTGTAGACACAACCCCGATCAAAAGGAAAGTCACCATGATGCCCACACTTGCAGGCAGTGGGTCATTACAAATGTCAAATGTGCAAAAATGTCTATATAAAAAGAAGTGGCCTATTGTTATTTAAAAGTTGCAGCTTTAATTATTTTCTCGGTTCAATATTTAGAATAGGATGAAAAAAAAATGGCTCTCTTGAGAAAATGATCCTTAAAATTAAATATACCTATCAATCTTTGCAAATTTGGAAAATCATTTCATGTACCCCCTGTAAAACCCACGCATATCCCCAGGGGTCCACATACCACTGGTTGGGAAACACTGGCATAGATTGAGGTTTTAAGGAGGATATTAGACAAATGTGACCAGTGTGGGGCAGCATATTTCTTATGGGGACCTAGAATTCAAATAAAATTTCAAATAAAACACAGCCACCCACCGAACCACCCACACACACACACATGCGCGCACCCACACACCCACACACACACACACACCCACACACACACACACACACACACACACACACACACACACAGACACACACACACACATAACTAAGTAACAAGCATTCTTTTTTCACATGAGTTCTACTTCTCAGACGCGTCATCACTTGCGTTCTTGGTGAAGTCAAAATGCACTGTCCCCTTCCTCACACCCTGTTATTATTAGGCACATATTTACCCAAAACATCTTCTACAGTGTTGTGTCGAAAGTGATGTGCTGGCTACCTTTATCAAGAGTTTAGTTTAGGAATCAAATGGAAAGAGGTTGGGAGAGTCACTCTGGCTCTTCTTGCTTGTCCCCTGATGTCTCTGATTGGTGCAGGATTTCGACTTCCTGTTCAAGGCAGTTTGTCTCCTCTTCCTCCTCCTTGGCCTGCTCCTCCTCTTCCTCGCGGATGGCTGTGATGGTGTCGGTTGCGGCCTGGACTTGCTCCGGTGATTCTGCAGCAATGACGCGCTTCCACATCTCATGGTTTTCCAACAGGTGCTGCGTGATCTGGCAAAACACTTTCCGTTGCTTTCTCGCTTTGGATTCTGTTTGGAGAAAGTATAGAAAAAATACCGTGTTTATTGATCTGTGTTTGCGGAGGAAGAAAAACAAGTAACTGTCAAAATCTAAAGCTTCTATTATATTTTGGGCAAGTAAATCATGTTTTAAGGAGCAAAAGGTCACAGTGACATGGTGACCAATATAAGATATCAGGCACCATTTTGAGTAACTTCTTGAATTCTGAGGTTTTTAGTTTTCATGTAGCAATAAAGAATAAAACTGTAAAGATCTAACTTTATACTTTATACTTCATACTTTTATGAAGTACCGTAATACACAAATATATTACTGATACTTGAAAAGACTCAAAAAAAATTAAGTGAGACATTTATTTTTTCACAGCTTGTTAAAACCTCAAAAACATATAAAAAATGTTTTGAATATTTTGCAAATACACTGTAATGTAAACTATAATAATCCAATGATGATCTTTGCGTAATGACTCGTAAAACATAATTGTTTTCACATCTTCACAAGTTGAATCACAGAAATAAATACACTTTTGAAAAATATTCTAATTTTCTGTGTTTCACATGTTGATGGACAAATTGTTTGCTTTGTTGACAATTAAAGTGCATGCATAATAATATATCACTATAATCGAAGGACATGGCGGTTTCCCCACATTATTTTCAATGAAATGAATCTTGGAATGTCACTTCGAGGTCTTTAAGGCAAGAAAGCTTCAAGAATATGAATGATGTCATCAGGTAGAGTAGAGCAGACAATCTGACAAAGGGAATAAGTAAGGAATCATAATATGTTCGGAACAAAGACAAAAATACTATGATTTTGTGTCAGTAATGAGCTTGGTATCATTGTAAGAGTTTTCAATGCACAGAAGATAAAATCATATTAAAAGGGGACATACGGGTGGTTGCACGGATTGGGGACATGTGATCTTCAGCTGCCTCCTCCTCTGTGTCTCTGTGTTCACTGGCCTCCTGAGCCTCCTCCTCTTCATCCTCCTCCTCCTCTTCCTCCTCCTCCTGGACCCAGTGGCCAGGCATGAGTGCTGCAGAGTTGTAGGAGGAGCACAGAGGGCCCACAATGTGAGTAATGAAGGACTCCTGCAGTTTAGCCAGCTGTGGGGCCGAGCGGTCCATGAACGGGCTGATAGGGAGGCCCAAGGTGGATTCTTCATCGCCCTGACAATCACAGAAGGAAAATACTTAAATGAAGCCAAGTACATAAAACACCAGTCTCTTAGCCCATAGTCCCAGGCCCAAAGGAGCTGCTCAGAGTCCAGCTGTACCACTGTGTCTCCACTCTATCCCTGGTACAAAACTGTTTATGTTCAGTTTTCAATTCATATGAAATGAAAAGGATGATTGACTAAATAAAATTGCTCAAAAGATTGAAAATGGAAGGATTCAAAATAAAACAAATGTCTAGCTTGGTTGGAACAAAATATTATTTGATAACGTATTGATCTAATGCATGCAAAACATTTGTTAAAACATTTATTTTGGAGAATGGACACAAGGACACAACAACGGCTGCTCAGTTTGGACGTCCCTCCTCTGGGGCATGAACAGGGGTGAGCTGGGTGGTCCCTCACAGGAAGCTCTGCTCTCTCCGGGGACAGTGGTGTTACGGCTCTAAATGTTTTTGTTGTCTAACTTAAATTACATACAGGACACAGAGGGCACTATCCCTTAGATAATGGTACCAAAGGTACACATTGTCTTATGTAAAGATGAATGCTGCTTGTCTATAGAGCACATTGATGTGCTGCTCATGACTGGGCTGAGGACAGGGCTTTCACGGCGAGTACACTGTAGATGGACAGTGGGGTAAGAGACCTCATCTCCATGGCAACACTGTACTGCTGCAAGTGACGTGGTTCTGTACATCTATAGGTAACAGTGGCGCGAGATGCGCAATGCATGAGAATTGCATTTCAAAAGCAGCACAGTTACGCTTTGAAAAAAAGCGATACAAGCCGGGCTAACACAGAATGCAGCTGCTCGTACACGTGAACTGTGAGGCTTTATCTCCATCTGTGGACGAGTTATGTAAAAGAGATGACATATTTGGGTCATCTGAAGTGAGCGCAAAAACTCAAGTCCTTGATGTGGGCGTTCTACCATAATTCTCTCAAAGAGAAATGGAAAGATGGTTGATATTAAATAGCTGCTTATGGAGAATCAGAGTTGATCTGCTAAAATGAGGCAAAAGGAAAAGATTTGTGACATACTGTTCCCAAAGTGTGTCTTTTATTACTGTATTGTGTCCTGATATAAAGCTGGCTCACATAAAATAGTGCATACTCTCAATCTTATTTCGTGCCTATTAATCAGTCTTGTGAGGTTCTGATTACTAGGTCCAAAGTCTCCCATTTTCACCTCGACACTTAAAACCTTCTGTTGCGAGGATACTAATCATAGTTGCAGGGCTAATCAGATATTATCTGTCTTGCCATGCACCGGAGTCAACTGACCAATCACAGTCACAGGGGGCTGAAAGCAGGATTTGCTGTCAGGCATCTGCAGTGCCTCATGAACAAATTCAGCAGTCAAGGCTATTATTGTCTATTGTGGCTTGAGAGTGCCTTTTACACTCACCTTTTCTATGCGCTGTAATTACCCAAAGCCACAAATGAGAAAATGCGTTTTAATGTTAGAACATACTTGTTCGTAGAATTCATTCACAATGCCTTCTGTCCATTGCAAATGCAGTTCCTTATTCTTCAGGGGCCCGTTGACATCCGCGATCTTTATGCACATCTGGCAAACCAGCATTCGGTCATTCTCATTGCTCCAATCAATACTGGATATGCCTTCATCTCCCACCTAAAGCAGTAAGATCAATATAAGTATGTATTAGCACCTATTGTACACAACGTTTTCAATGAATGCAATTTTAACCAGGATTACAGTCTAAGAGAAAAAAAAGGTTAAAAAAAATACATATGTGCCTGAATTTAGACCTATTTTGATGCGTGGAGAGGTGTAGGGTCGGAGAGTATTCGGGTCTGTGCCCTTTAGTGTGTTTTGTGTTGAATGAATGAGAGGGATCAGAGCTAATTGTTTCGGTTGTGTCCTTTTCAAACTGCGTAAAACTGCTTATTTTGTATTTGTTTTTTTATTCGATGTATAAAATGAATAAAATAAAAAATAAAAATAAATAAAATAAATAAAATAAATAAAATAAATAAAATAAATAAACTTTTATGTATCAAGTTGTGTCCATTATCTAAAGAAGCTCTTCATTTCTCATCTTTAGCCTTGCAGCCACTCATGTTCAACCACAGTGTTTACCTTTGCGTTAAATTCAGCAAGGAAATCAAAGTGCTTTTTGAGGTCAGTGGCCAAAATGGCTTCAATAACGAGGAAGCGGAAGCGTTTGAACTCCACATGCTCAAGGTTGGCAAGAAAGTTATACTCCGGTTGAGACATGAAGAGGTTCCAGGCGGCAGCTGCGTGGTGGTTTTCCAATACAGAGCGATCATTGTATAAAAGTGCCTGAAACATAGTAAACATACAAAGAAAATCATGGAAGTTTGTTGCCTAATAATTAGGGCTGTCAAAATTATTGCGTTAATTCACGTTATATACCGTTTTCATTAACGCGTAAAAAAAATAATTAACGCATGTCCGAATGACCCGTCCATTTATAATAATATCACTCAGAATGCCGCGGACACGTGCGTGTGTGTGATGGTGACAGCGGTAACGTGGTCATATAATACACACATATATATACACGCACAGGGGCCATTCTCTGATGTTGTGTGACACACGGAGGAGAGGAGGAGACACGCTGAAATGCAACCAAACTCGCAAAATTAAAGCTGGGGTACCTACATTTTCCCTTTCATTAACAGCTCTTGTTGGTTGTACCCAAAAGTAGAAGGTTGTGAGCAAGTCAAACAGTTTAAGTACATTTGGTATGAATAACAATGTGTCATTACATTTGAAAAACTCATTTAACTTCAATTGGAGTGGATTTGAAAAAGAATGTTAAAAATGCGATTAATCGTGTGTTAACTCACCATTACTATTCGATTAATCAACTAAAAAAAATAATCGTTTGACAGCCCTACTAATAATACATTAATTGTGGACATCCTACAAAATTGGGGTACATAACTTTTCTTTTGTCTCATGAATACATTACAATACAAAAGAAATAACATTTTGTGAACAAATCAGACCAAAACACACTGTCTATATCATAATAAACTAATAATCATTATTTCACATGAACAAACAAAACATATAGCTATTGTGCATGTCTTTGCACGTGTTTGTGTGTAGGGGGAACCAGAGCACCTACACAGACAAAGGCAGAACATGCAAACTCCACAAAGAAAGGCCTCTTCTCAAGGTAGAACTCTAAACTCTAAACTCACGCGCTCCCGTGAGTGTCTTTTACATTCTGAGAACTGGTTGAATGAGTGAGGAGTGGTACTCTTTTTTTAACTGAACTAGCTGATTCTCAGAAGTGACAGAGGCTAAAAATAAGTGCATGTGAAATAGGGCTGTGCCAAAAAATCTCTTTCTCTATATCGATTATCGACCTGTGCATTTAAATCAGAGACAAGATCATGCTGAATTTCTCCTGTGTATTTATAACTGTGCCAAGAACAGCCTTCTACGACGTTTGTCTTAAATAATCATAATATAATTCAATGAGAGTTGTCCTGCCACTTGCCTGTGCACAAGTGCATATACAGTATATACCATGTTTTATATATATATATATATATATATATATATATATATATATATATATATATATATATATATATAAAAAAAAATAAAAAATGGAGAGTGATCAATATGAAGAAAAAAATGATTTTTTTCCCAGATCGCCCTAAAGTGAAAACGAGCCATAGAACCTCACCGTTTTGCTCACTAGGATCACATCAACTTTATAACCATGTGTAATTAGTCTTATTTTGTGGTTTAGAAGTTAGGTACTCCAGCTTCACCTTGGCTCGTGGGAAGGTTTCATGTTTACCTGTGGTGCACTGGTGGCCACTAGAAAGGCGTTAGTTCTTCCTGGATGGTCATAGTCGTGCATTGCGGCTGCCACATAAAGAGCCATGAGCTCCAGGCCTGGGACCAGACGAGCTATGGAGCCGTAACCTTCATCAAGCTCCAAGTTCAACTTCAGAAAACCTGTTGCACCACGGCACATGCCATTCTCTGAGTCTGCTGAACAAACACAGCGTAAATATGTTTTAGAACATGCCTTAGGAATCCCACTGAGTACAGGAGGACGAGCATCATTCATAATAAATAGGGTTAGGGTTTCTGACACTATGAAGCAAGAGCAAAACGTGTTGTCAGTGTTTGGACCTGAAACATGATTATTATTAAGTAGTGGAGGCAAGGGCAGCACAATTTTGGCAAAATTGCTGATTGCAACATTTATCAACATTGCAATTCCTATTTTCAAGATTCAGTATGTTTACACAGTCTAAAAATGAAAGGGTTTGTATATGAAGCAATTACCCACAAATGTGAGTAAATGTTTATTCAAATGAGTTTGAACCAATTCAACCATTTATGCCTGTAGAAATAAAAGATCAATAAATGTAAATGAAACTTATAATTAAGTTGATTTGTTTTCTCTGAAAACTTTTATTCAGTCAGACCTGAGTTGTGCAACACATTATGAGAGTTTATAAATGATGAAAGATAATAATCAATTTCCCCACATCTAAGTGCTTGTTTTCTTATCTTTTGTCCTTTTGTGAAACGCTTCAATATTTGCAGACCATGAACAATTCAATTTCGATTTGATTTTGATGAATTCTGCTGCCCTAGTGGAAGTATTATAAATGTGTATGTTTTGTTTATATTAATAAAACAATAACACATATACAATACGATAAAATGCTCAACTGGGTAACTGTATTATTATCCAGTTTTGGCAATTTATCACAATAAGTATAATGTTATAATTTATTACCATTACATACCTGAGTGAATGCCATTATCTGAGAATGGAGAGGGCAGACCAGGCACACACTGCGTGGTCAGGTACCACACTGCATGCAGCACGTCTGTGGCGTGAATCCTGTTGTGATCTGACATAAAAATTACACAGAATACAGTATGTTATAACTGAACATGTAACATTGATCACAGTCATTGTTAAACCAGACTGCCGCCTAGTGGCAGTGAGCAGACATGACGCATAGAGCAGTACTCACAGGGGATATCTCTGTAACCATTTTCTAGAGCGTGGAAATAGTTCATGAACTCTTGAACTGGAATCTTAAACATTTCAAATAGACCTGTATCTTCAAAGAGCTTATATGAAACCTGCAATTAGAAATACAAATACACATAAAACATTACTATCTGTTAATGATGATAAACAAACTTATAACTTAAACATCATAGAAAGTAATGCGCAGATCTAAAGGGAATTGTTACCTGACTCAGAATGCAGCCAGTTTTTCCGTTCGTCTTTTCAACTAGACGGAAAATGGGAAAATTCCAATTGTTGAGCTGACTCATCAAAGGCTCTAGTTCTGGCCTCAGTGGACTCTCCTGGACTGAGACATCTTTGTCCTAACGGGGTGAGAAACATGTTAGATAACAGATTCAAGATCATACTTCATACACACTGAGGCAGGACTATTACAGTAATATCTACAATGTCGGTACCTCTGGGGATGGCAGTAGTGGATGCAATACAATGCCCTCTGGTGGACACTGCCTGCAACTGTCTTTTCCTTCGCGCTGCTTCTTGGGCTCTCCATCCTCTTCATTGGGTGCAAAATCGCTGCTGTCACTGTGGTTGGTCTCATAGGTGCTGTCATAGGTGCTATCATAGTCTGAAGATGCTACTATCCGCTCGTCTGAGGGAAAGGGATTATTTTAATGAGCCTATCCAGGTAATAGAAAAAACAACCACATACATATTTCAACAGGATTACAATTGCAAGAGTTAATTTGAGGTGTATTATCAAGGCTGTGGTTTGTTTGGGGTGGGTTTGTTGAGTTTGCATGTTGATGGGTCAATGTTTTTTAATGAACTGTATAAAGTTGTGTTCCATTTTTGTATGAAAAGCGTTTTATAAATAAAGATTATTTGGTTGATTCATTACAACTGAAGAGCCTTTCCTTTATGAATCCACTGTGTTTGTCCCATTAGAAAGTGTTGTTTACTGTAAGAAATATTGTTTCCTTATCTTGTTAGAAAACGTGGTATATTTTACATACTGTGAGCTGGTAGTGAGGGCTGGTACTCGAGTACAGTGACAGAGGCATAGATAGTAGGTGATAGAACAGAGCAGTTCTGAGAGCAGTGTTGCCAACTCCTCAGTAAGGAAAGTAGCTATTGGCTGTCCCAAAAGTCGCTAGAAGTCGCTAAATGACGTCATCGCCTAATTTGCATAATTTGCCATTTGCAAATAACTGTAACGGACGCTGTAGGAGAGAGGAATAAGGTCGTGGGAGAGACAAAAGTGAGTAAAAACACCCTAAATATGTTTAGAACTACAAATGTACAAAAATAATTTCAACATTAACAACATTTAATGATTTTAATGCTTTGTCTAGATCCACATTACACACATCAGTTTTGTCCTGTATTGTTAAATGTTATAACAGCAAATGTAATCAAAAGATTGTTATGTAGGGTGAAATTGCTAGCTCTACAACCAACCCTCCTCCTTTATCCGGGCTTGGGACCGGCAAAGTGACCCAAAAGACACACTCTGGCAGAGTTACTTAGGTTTATTTTTGTAAGTTTTTTTTTTTTTTTCATAGTTTGGCATAACAAATGATTTAATGTGACCCACTACTGAGAGAAAACAGAGTCACGGACAGAGCTGCCGCGGATGGAGTGTGGGGGGGGTAGTGGGGGGTGGCGGTGGTAGGAGTGGCCGGGGAGCTTTGGATGTGTGGTGGTGGTGGAGCTGAAGTTCAGTCTGCAGCAGCCTGAAAACTTCCTGTGCTTTTGAGTCTCCTCTCTCTCTCTCTGCTCCGCCCATAGACTGTAGCTGGGACTGCTGCGCAAGGCTACTGTGAGACTGGCCGCCTGTAAGTGCTTTGGGACGGGGGAGGGGCTCACGTTGAGGACAGCAGAACAATACGTGCTTCACGAGTCTCCAAAACACCAGATAAGTCGCCAAAACACCAGATAAGTCGCCAATAACACCAGAAAAAGTCGCTAGATTTGTCGCTAGTCGCTTTTTTGAAAAAAAGTCGCTATAGGGGTCTGAAAAGTCGCTAAATCTAGCGACAAAGTCGCTAAGTTGGCAACACTGTCTGAGAGCGAGGAACTAGTGGATTTTTATCACACTGTACATTTTTCGTGGTTTCAAAGTAAGGTACTCAATTTCATGTGTTTTTTTGTATATCCCTAATTCACAACAGAAATTGTAAAATGTGAATAAATTTGAGAATCAAAGAGAAGAGGAAAATGTACTCTTGCCATAATGTTTCTTACTGAAAACACTTTAAATGTTCACCTGGGTTAGGTATGCTGTCTAGTTTATCAGTCGGCTCCACTCCATTGGTAATTCTGTTATACGGTCTGCCACAACTGGAAACACACACAAAATTAAATTGAAAGAGCACTCATGCACAAAAAATCCAAGGTGTGAGCTTATCTTGAGTTTACTTTTGATAATGTACAAAGTGTAACCTGGTGCAGAGGGGCGGGGGTCTCCAGTGGGGGGTGGTGGAGCTGGGCGCGCTCTGGCTGTGGGTTAAGGCTCGGTGATGGCTCCTGGGGGCCGTAGGGAGGTGCTCTGTGGGGGGCCCTTCAGGTTCTGGAAGCTTTACTGAACATGAATTGATGGTGGGACTGGTCAGCGGAGTCCCCTGGGTTGGAGGGGAGGGACAGGGAGTGCCCAGAGGGGAGGTGTTGGAAGAGGAGAGGAACGCTGGTTTTCCCACTGGTTTGCTGTACAGGTGGTTGGTGAAGGACGGGGCACAGGAGGCCGACATGGAGCGACTCTTGGAAATGGTCATCATGACTGAGTTGCTCCACGAGTCACTGTTAAAAGAAACGCCTCGGCTTTTAATACTGACTTATTTTTACTTTTTGTATGTATTTGTATGTATTTTATGCTTTTTGGATGTGCAAGCAGCAGCGTTTCACTCGCAATTAGAGATTAGTGAGATTTTACAGTGTATTTTTGTTAGTTTCGTTTATTGTGTCTGTTGTGTTTGTGCTTGACATTTTTTGTCCTCTACTGAACATTGAATTTCATGCTGCAAATTAGCTTTGGCCATAAGCACCATAATGTATGCATCAGACAACTTTGCGACAGTTTGTCTATGTTTGATAAAGCACATAAAAGATGAAAATATGACATACTGTTCCTTTAAAAGGAATCTATTCCCCACCAGGTACATGCCCAGCGGTGTCAGGCTCAGCATCCCGCTGTGATGCGTGCTGATACCTGTCAGAGGTGTGTTTGATGCTGGCTGAGCGCTCTCTCCTGACCGGGCCGGGCTCAATGGTGGGCAGTCCTGTGGCAGACGTGGTAGTGGTCCAAGTGGACGAGATTCTGCGAAGTAAACCTGGAGGAAGGCTTCTTCTGAGACGCTGCAACAGTGGATCACAAAGAACATAAATAATATGATGACAAAAAACGATAACAGAGTTTATATAATCTTGGATAACGATTCCTAATCTGAGATGTGCACGAGTCATCACTATTCTCATAAACTGTTTTTCATCGAATGTTTTTCTTGTACTTTATTGTTTCTTATGAGCATTCATCAATCAGTAAAGTATAAACAAAACGTTTTTACACCACAGAGGAGGATAGCACCAAGTTAATACCCATGACGTTGCCCGGCATGGCATAGCCGGGGCCCCACCCTGGAGCCAGGCTTGGGGTTGGGGCTTGAAAGCCAGCGCCTGGTGGCCGGGCCTTAGCCCACAGGGACCCGGCCGGGCTCAGCCCGAACGGAAGAAGACGGGGGAACCAGTTGAGGTGGCTCGGGCATCTGTTCCGGATGCCTCCTGGACGCCTCCCTGGGGAGGTGTTCCGGGCATGTCCCACCGGGAGGAGGCCCCGGGGAAGATCCAAGACACGCTTAAGGGACTATGTCTCTCAGCTGGCCTGGGAACGCCTTGAGGAGGAAGTGTTTTTTGGAAAGGGAAGTCTGCGCGTCTGCTTAGACTGCTGCCCCCGCGACCCGGCAACGGATGAAGCGGAAGAAAATGAATGGATGGATGGACCACAGAGCAGCTATTTGAATGCATCCAGCCATAGTTAAAGATGCTAGTTCCATTGCGGTTGGACGATCTTGCATTGCTGTATTTAGTCCTGGCTCTGTGCCTAAAGGGCCTGCATACTGTACATTGTAGAGACTTGCTCTGCTAAGAAGTTAAACAGCGGTGTGGATTCAAAAGCATTCGTTTTTTATGAATTCGATAATTTGTGGTTTATGGCAGTTGAATGTTGTTGGCTTTTATTGACCACAATAATAGTTTTTATCTCCCATTGTTTAAACACCAAACTGTATTCTAAGGGACAATAACCAACATAATAATAACGACTAAGCTGAGGCTGCTCTGTTTTTATGTGATAAGACTTGTCCTTTCTCAAGTTGTCCATGTAAGTAGATAAACTTTGATATTTATCCACCTCAACACTTACTGTATATATAGTCTATCGTGATTCCTTAGTGGACTTTATGGGAGTCGATACCTAATGGAGCCGTCTAATCAGGTCACTTGACTAGTTTCTGTAATCATGATGATTACATTGGCATTGGTCATCTGTTTTTATCATTGCATTTCTTGTGTTTAAACGGTTTGATTATCTGATCAAACTTAAAGGTTTTGAGAAGTCCTCCGAGATAACTATGTTGTAATTTGGGGCTATACAAGAATAAATTGAATTGAATTAGAAATAGAAAAACACATTTTTTGACAATAAATTGTTTCACGCAACAAATTATAATTAGTGAAAAAAAATTACATTACTACCTGGGAATGTGAAACTGTAACTTTGACTGTGAAATGTCAACTATGGGTACAGGAAGTGACTAACTTTTGGAATGGCGAGTCTGTCGAGCTTCTCTGGAGCGTCCTCTGAGTCCGAGCAGGCGTGTGATTGGTCGGTGGGGAGGCGTGGCCGGTGCAGGGGCTGCAGGTTGATCTGTGTGCTCAGGAGGTTACTGACGGCCTTCAGGGAGGAAAAGGTGTTTGGGGGCAGAGAGGGGTCTGCCAGGAGGTCTGAAATCAAGCCATGCGCCTCCCCCATCACCGCGATGTCCACTACCACACTGGTGCCAGACGACTGCGGGACACAACACAGACAGAGGCGTTAGGGCCGTGTCCCACGTGACCCGACACTCATGGGTCATTGTGGTCTTGTTTGCTGAAATTCCCTTATTTCAAAGAGCAGCCCTCCACCTCTGCCTGTCACACATGTTTATGAACGAATAGAGAAATTATTGCGATAAACAGTAATATTGAAATAACTTCATTAAAAACCGGAGAACACAAAAGTCAGCTGAAACAAATAACAGCTGAAATTGTATTGTATTACAACAAAGTCACATTTCTGCTGACTATAGCAAAGAAAATTTACATAGAGCCCCAAAATATCTTGATCCAGATAGTGAACAATACGTCAATATTCATTTTGTTATGTTTACAACCAAAAACATGACATATTACAATGTGTAACTGAAATGTGAATTGACACCAAATTGTATGCATGATTTTTTTAAAGAAAGTATTATTACTAGTATGCATTCATATTATATGAGTTATTACTATGTGGAATACAGGACATTATTAATCAAAATAATGTCTGATTACAGCCCCTTCTTCCACATAGATGTGTGTCCTCTTTTCCTCAACTCGTCCACAAAGGTCAGATTTCTGTATCGGGTAAAACTAGTCGCTGTGGATTTCTCTATTTTTTTAATAATAACAAAATCATAAATAATTTTGCTTTCACGTCACAATTGAATGTTCGTAATACATTGTAAATACAATCTTTATGCTTTCTGGTTGTAAACATGAGTAAACGTTGAAGTTGTATCATAAGGCCCCTCAGAACACTCTCTGTGAGGGCCACTGACATCTGGAACAGTCTTCTTCTAAAAACAAAGCAGTCATGTGACCACTTCACTCTTAACATTTCCTTGTGCTGTCTGTCTTGTATGTTGTAATTCATGTATTTGCCTGCCTTGGGAGGGACTATGGATGAAAACTAGCTTTGTAGCTATAATCCGGAATATTTATGTTTTATATATAATTCCTTAAAGTGCACTGTCCCTATCAAACAAAACAAAAACATAAATATTAGTGCTTTCTTTAGTAGTAGTAATTGTGACAGGCCTACTTAAAAATACAAAACAGCAGGTGCAAATTGAATACTTATATATACGTGCACAGATAGTGAAGTCAGCTCTGCACTTTTCATGCACCCTCGTTGTCTATTCAATGATTCAATGATCTGACATGATGGCCCACTATAAGGCTACGCTTGCCCATCTGCCCGGCCCCGGGGCTGCCTCACTTACTCACTGCCAACAGCCTCAGCCTTTGCCACATCCTATCTCCTGCAAACGTGACGCTTTCTGTTTTGAGAAGCCTTTATCTGTGAGTACATCTGAGGAAAAAAAGAACCTCTATAGAAAAGGGAGGAAAAACACATGATTTAAAGCGGAGTAATCTCTTTGGTTTGGTTTTCTTTCTCCTAACAAATGGCACTGATAAGAGGTACATAAAGTTTAACGACCGTGGATAAAATGACACATGATTCTCATAATTGTCTACCTTAAACAGATCGTATTAGCTCTTCCAACATGTCCGAGCTCGGGGGTGGGAGGTGATAAGTGAAACACATTTAGTTTCCTGGAAAAGTGTGTGTGCGTTAGTGTGTGTGTGTGTGTGTGTGTGTCACCTCAACCTGAACAAAACCCATTAGGGCACTCCAGAGCTTTATGACATCCTGCTATTGTGACATTCAACCATTACCTGGCAGTAATGGACTGTGTTCTCCTCATGTCAGGCACAGACACACATTAAACAGTGTGTTGCTTTATTTCATTAAAGCTGGTTGTGTTTTGTTTGTATCACTTCAATCCATTGACAAAAGTTCTACTGTGATTATATGGAAACAGGAAATCTGAGGAAATCTTACCCTGCGCTCATGAGCATTAAGCTTGAGGAAACTCAGCATGTGTTTGCACAGGTCCCAAAATATATAGAAAGGAAATGTTTTTGCAAACTATAATCCAAATCCAAATCTCAAAACTATAAATGAATGAATGAGTGTGTGAGTGAGAATGTGGGACAACAGATGCAAATTAGACCATGGCTACAATCTGGAGTGATGTGTTCATTAACATGTGCTGTCCCAACCAAATAAACAATAAACAAAAGTAAATGAACGTCTCATGTTCTTCGCCCCATATTCAACACAAAACAACATTTTTCACATCTACTTTTCTTTATAACAAAAAGTAATCTACACTACATTCTTTTAGGATCATTCTGGATTTGTTCATATTCACACAAATTTTGAAAGTTAAAACCGATTTGATAATTTGATACAATTTTGAGACATTTTAAACTATCTAAAAGTATTATTACTGAGTTTAAAAGAAAAGTGTATTGTCCAAATGTACTACATGAAAAACTAAATAATTGAGTATTAGGTTATGTATTATTATTGCATTTATTGTGTTCGAACGGTTTGATTCTCCGATCTGTTTTTGCCGAATAAAAAACTTTGTAAAGTCCTACGAGATAACGACTGTTGTGATTTAGGGCTATACAATAATACATTGAATTGAATGGATTTTGATTTTTACATTTAGTATTGTGACATCACTAACTCCTCCTGTCTATTCTGGCCCATATACATCCGTTATAACCTGATGAGTAAAGCATGTGCAATAAATACATTTAACACAAAACAAATAATATATAAAAAGGTTAAAAGACTAAAAGTAGTCAATGAATGTCTACCAGCCCCGAGTTTCATAAAGCACGGCTTGATTAAGCACGGCTTGTTTGCTACATGCATGATTTGAGATTATGTAATGCTAAAGAGCATTTGCACAGGGGCCAGGGAGAAGGTTATCGATCCCTCGCAGCGCAGAGGCCCACAGGAGACAGCAGGGGGAGCAACGGTCAATGAGCAGATCATCAGTGACCACAAAGGCCTCACATGTGCAGCAGGGGTGGGCTGGAGCTGCACGCAGGCTGCCTCTGCACCTCCTGGGACACGGAGACCACTGCTGATGCACTCACTCCCATAAGTAGCACAGCGCTAACAGCAGGAGGATATGCAGCAGAGGAGAGTCCGGTGTGTGTCACGCTTCTACGGTCCAGCACATTCAAATACTACAATCAATAACAAGATTATTAATAACTACAACTCTTCTAAATTAATGTTGTCAAAAGGATACCATAAAGAGATCGGAAATATTAAGTAGATTATAAGAATAGGATATATTTTTCACATTTTTCTCAACGTTTGAGATTATCTTATCCAAATTGGTGTTGTCAAAAGTATTTGAATCATAAGATAATAATCAATACTAAACCAAGTATTCAAACCATAGAATAATTTAAGTAAAGATACAGTGGTTCCGCTATTGGAAATAAATTGCACATTAACTTTCCTTGAATTCTTCGAGTATATTCTTTGCTTGATGTTGCCAAGTGAACTCAATTGGATGCAATAAAGTTTTACTGTGATTTCAACTTGTGCATATATCTGCTCACACTGGGATTTGAACTCGGAATCTTAACACTGAGGAGCAATGGTGCAACCCACTCAGACAACATGCCGCACTAATCTTGACACGTTTGCAATATTCAACACTCTGCATGTTCAAAATATCGAAAGTGCAGCTTACTTGAACAGAGACAGCTCAATTCAAAGAAAGGCCCTGAGTGGTATAGTCAAGCTTTAAATAAACTAACTAGAGCTGCAACTAACGATTATTTTGTAATCGATTAATCTATCGATTATTTTTACGATTAATCGAGTAATCGCTTGGCTGTGAATTGTGTAGAAAAAAAAATATTTTTTCATCACAAAAAGCTAAAGTGGCAACACTCGAGGACGTATTGATGGCGTAAACTTAAAGTAAATGTTTGTAACAGGCTCTTTGTGCTAATTCTGCTCTGATTGGATGAGACAGACAGATATTCATGAAATTATAAAAACAAAGTCGGTTTTAATCAATAATACTACATTTTCATGTCATTTTTGCTCTGTTTGAGTCCGTGTGAACCAGAAAACGATTAATCGATTACTAAAATAGTTGTCGACTATTTCAATAATCGATTAGTCGTCGATTAATCGATTAGTTGTGTCAGCCCTAAAACTAACAATAAACAAGTAAGATTTACTTACTGGGAAAAATCAATTTAAAACAACTTTGATGTCTGAAGTAAGATTGAAGTTAGGGGTTACAGTGTGGATAACAGGGTTAACCTTTTGTGGCGTCGCTGTTTGACAGATTTATTTTTAGGCAATTTTGCTTGTTTGTGTGTGTGTGAGTATACTCCAACAACATCATATAACCGCTAGTGTAACATGACATTTACCTTAATCTAAAGTTACGGGACGGTCTTCCCATAGCCCTCAGTCCTGTCCTTCAGCAGCTATATTTTTCAGTGTATGCACGGCTTTTGACAGCTGCAGCAGCACCCAGACCTACACCGAACAGGTTTGATATTTCTGCGATTGCACTTCAGCAGTTATGAGTTCAGGGGGTTAGAGAGAAGTGTATTAAGTGTGTGGTGAAGGGTTTTACAGCCTTAAAACGTACAGCTCCTACTTTGCGGATTTTGCTTATGGAGATTTAATTTCGTAACCCCAGCAGGACCACTTTACTAGATGAAAGCACATCAATCAGAAGAACCTCTATATTGAGTTAACAAAAAACATTTATAAATAATCACCGTGGAATTGACAATACTTTTGAAAATATGACAAATACTTGGGATCTTGGGTTGGCCTGGGTTCCTAAAGGTACTGGGTTGTTGCCGTCTTTCTCTCTGGTTGGCAAAACATAAATTATTGGTAAAATATCACTAGTAAAATCTATAAAATGTCAGAGATCATGGACTCCTAAACATCTGGCCCTCTGGGAAATGACACAGCCTGTTACAAAGTGAAATACTGTATTGAAAAGGAGTGGTCCGCTCGAATAAGTGCCAAAGTAGAACGTTTCCATACATTTCTCCAACATTATTTTTTCACATTGAAATTCTAAACTCAAATTTTAAACTGAATCTGTTTCTGTAATTTTTCAAGCAAACATTGTATCATGATTTGTAAGTAGAATTTAAAAAGGTATTAAGTCTGCACTGTAGCCACACGCCCTATGGGAATTCAAAATATTGCAATTGCTGTTATGATGTTAGATGATGTTTAGAAGAAGTCTGTCATGTATAATCAAAACAAACTGAACAACACTCAATCTAAAATACATGCATCCAAAACTTTCTTGAATCCACAGCTCAAGTTCCTGCTGGTTTGCAATCAATCAAAATGAAATCAATAATTCATCCAACTTAAAAACATATCTTCACCTTTTCATTTTCACTATATTACCCAGACAAATCCTTTTGCCATTCATTTTCCTCCACTTTATCCCTTTCCGGGTCGGCAGGGCAGCAGTCTGAGCTCTGACCTCCCTGACTTCCCAATCCACACTCACTTCCTCCACTACATCCGGGGGAGTCCGAAGGCGTTCCCAGGCCAGCTGAGGGACTTACTTTAGACCCTGAACATTTCCTGGGTCTTCCTAGTACTCACTTACTGGTGGCACATGCCCAGAACACCCACAGCATCCGGAACAAATCTCAGAGAACCTAAACTGGCTTTTTTCGACGTGGAGAAGCAGCGGTTCTATTCCGAGTTCCTCCCGTGTGACTGAGCTCATTATCCTATTTACAACGACTCAACCATGAGAAAACTCATTTGGACCACTGGTGTCCGCAAGTTTCTCCTTTCAGCCGTTCCCCAAAGCTCGTGACCATAGGTGAAGGTGCGGGAACCTAGACTGAATGGTTAATCAGGAGCTTTGAGTGCAGACACTGCTCCCTTTTCACTACAATGGTCTGATACAGCGGCCACATCCTTGCACACGCTGCACTGAATCGTCTGTCATTCTTGCGCTCCATCCTTCCCTCACTGTGAACAAGAGCCCTCCGCCTCCACCTCTGCACCACCTGGAGTCACCCGACACCAGACAAACCCTTGCTATTTAGGTAAAATATTTAGTCGACAAATACAAATGTTGGTGGATTAAGACACTGTTGATTAATCAAGTAATTCAGAACAAAGACCGACTGGCCCAATAAGGATATGTACAGAGAATTTGTGTAGATATCACGCACCCCTGTAAATCACCTTTTCTAAACATGTAAATAAGTAAGTCATCTTTATTTATTTAGTGCCTTTTTACAGACCAAGGTCACCCAAAGTGCTTTACAATGTTCAAAGTTCATATATTTTTCCCATTCTCTCCAAACGGTGATGAGAATATCCCATACTTCCTACCACAGTAGAATACCATTGAACTAGAGCCAGAGGAAGAGTTGCTTGAGAAAGGGCCTGGCTCTGTCTCAGGGGAGCCAGTTTGGAGTTATGTAGGGACTTGTGAGATCAGGCATGAAGGCAGATGGTGAGGGCAGAGAGACACAGACATAAAGAGGAAACAAGAGAGAGAACAGGGAGAGAAGGCGGGCTCTGAGTCCAGGGGCCATCTCCACTCAAGTGCAAAGGAACAGTTCAGTGGAGCTGGCCAGCTGAGCTCCGCTACAGTGGAAGCTAACAACTGTAAATACACTTACATTCCTGACAACAGCGCACGAACACAAACACAGCAGCGTGGCATTCACAAGGTGTGCACCTGAATATCTCAGGGAATTCACTTCTACCACTTTACCACCATTGAGCATTCAAATCAGCAAAGACCTGGACTCTCATCAAACCATCCAGTGACCATGAGACAAAGTGATGTATTAACAAATTATATATCAAACTTATAGGGACCACAATGCAGGATTTGATAATTAGGCAAGTTTAGAGCAGTGTAATGCTAATGAAACTCTACTAATGAAACAATAGAGGCTTACATGAAATCCTTAAATCGAAATTGTTGAAAATCTTTGGGAATATTTACATACATTTGCTCAATGAATCTTAAACCACAAACACAAGAATTGCTGTCTCACAAATCTTGCAAACATTCTTCAAAACACAAATAATCTCTGCAAAGAAATACGTGTAACTCCATAAAAAACCTTTTCTTTCCTGCGTAAATGACCCCAAAACTACGGCTTAATTTAGACAGCGCTCGGAGTCGCCCTATTTAAAGACGCGTCATCATTACCCATTCAACTGTAGCTCGCAGGCGCACACGCAACACAACACAACACAGGTGCAACTTGGTTTACACACAGATACGCCACCTGCTTTGGACGATGCACACTGTCCAGATTGCGTCCCATCGTAGTTGCGGAGTGCCTTCTCTGCATTCTTTTGCTTGAATCCTAATCCCAAATCCAAAATAAATATAAAATGGCCTATACTGCTGTTACAAATATTTTCTTCTTGCTCTCTGGAGTATAATTGCAGAGCAAACTTATAGGACCTTCAGCCTCTCTCCGATCCTCCCGTGCTGCACTCTCTCTCTCCCTAGCCTCCCTCCATTCCCTCGCCCGCCCCTCTCATCTGCATCTGCCAATTGCAAATGGTCACTAGGCGCTTCAGGGGTAGGAAACAACCTGCATATATCGCTATAGTATTGGGTTGCTAAGAGACATCCGGGGACAAAGATCAAAGTGAGTCAGAAGTCTCATAAATACTGTAGTAATAGAAGTAATGGCAGTAGTTTCAATTGTACAGTGCGTCCACAACTTGTACTCCAGGGTTTCCGGTGATACCAAATGATGCGTGATGATGAGCAATGGCATATCGGGGCTTTTATCAGGCTGGCACAGGAAACTCAGACTGGTATTGATCTAGAGTCCTGAGCAATACAGGAAGGTAGATGTAACCATTGAGTTTCTATCCAATGTGATAGTGCACCTTTTCCCCTGTGGCAGCACACAGTCATAATCTGTTATACAATGAACCAAACATATCCATTAGAATAGGTCGCAAAAATTGACCAGAAAGTCAAGTTCTTCAAATAAGTTTAACAAAGTTTAGTCTCAATCTTCTCATTCCAAGAAAGAAATTGCTTTTCATGTTCTTATTTTAAACATTTTATGGTTGCCATTTCTGGTTTCAAGTTCATTATTGTCACATATGCTAATGATATACAGTGACATTTGTTTTTCCCTTCTCGCTGATATTTCATGATACACACATTCAATATGATGTAATTAATACACAAAGCATAGGAACATACTACAGGTGAAACTCAGAAAAAAACAAGAAGTCCATCCATCTGAAATTAGACAATCAATTTGACAGACTAATTACAAGCAGAATGAGGTATATCAATCCTTTTTTTTTATAATGTTGATAATTGGCTCATACCTTGTAAAAAACCCAATTAAAACATATACAAAATATGTATAATAATCAAAATATTGAAATATGTCACTTTGAATTAAATGAAATAAATTGGTTTCACATTACTTTTGAGCAATGTTCAATATTTTCGAGTTTCAGGCATATAACAGTCTTACGGCTTTGAAATAAAATCTCCTTCTCATCCTCTCAGTTTTCATACTGATTTATAAATAAAATAAAATCCAAGCCGAGCTAACCGTTCTCAATCAAACTTGCAAATCCACAGCTTCATACATGTGTATTGTGCAAACGGGCTGCAATAAACTCTTTGAAGCATGACGTCATTATAACAGTGCACATCTGGGTCATGTGACAAGGCGTGTTGCGGTGGTCCCGGCGCACTGACCTGAGATCTGCCCAGCACTCTCTTGTAGTCCCACTCGGGCTGGCCCATCATCTGCAGACACAAGCACAGAGGCAGGCTGTCAGACAGGCTGCTGACACTACACAGCTGATCCTATGAGCACTTAACTCCTCCCGCACCTCCTTTCCCTCATTCCTCTCTCCTTCCCCTCCATCATCTCATCTAAAAATAAGAGGAGAGCAGACGCAGCAGATAAGGAACAGCAGAGGAGCACGTCACACACTACAGCTGCAGGCCTGAACCACATACGAGAGCAACCCCCCCACCCCCAACATGCTCCATCTAACATGAGATCTGTGCCATGCTCTCATTGCCCTGGAAAGACTGCAGCCTCAGACCACATAGTCAATCATCTGTGCGTGTTTATTTGTGTGGAGGTGACAATAATTGTATGTATATGTTTGTTTGTTTGTTTGACAGGGACATTGCACAATCATTTCATTGTTCAGACCGGACATAGCTACAAGCTCATTTTCATCCGTGGTCCCTGGGCAAAGGCAAAGTGACCTCAAGTTTACAGTGTGCAAAGAATTAATACATAGAATGGCCTAGTTATAACATTTAGCGTACAGGTAAAATACAACATCTCTAACCAGAAAGAGACACAATATATACAATATATACAGCACACAATTATTTGCATCTGATTAATGACTGCAGACTTGATTATCTTTGAGCCGGTTCTTTAGGCTGAGTTTAAACTGTCCGATGAGCTACATTCCCGCACAGTTTCAGGCCACTGCTGCTTTGACAAAGAAGCAGTTTTGACCAAATGAGGAAGACCTACAGTTCACAACAGTTTCCTCTGGATGTGGCTCTGGTGGATCTGATTCTCACCTCCTCACACGTTTGGATAAATATATTAAGTGGGGGTGCCGGATTTTGGAAAATGTTACACATAAGACAAATATGTATTGGACATATGGAATGGAATATGGATTGGAATCATGTGACCTTAGTGTCATATCAAATATCTTTCGGGTGATAGAGTTTACTAATGTTCTCCTTTGTAGTTTCAAAGGAGAACATTAGTTTTACTTGCATAAGAGATGCACATTGCAGACTTTCGGAGGGCCAACCTCTGCAGGAGCATGGGTAAACTATTCTTTATCCCACCTGTCAGGCGCCACAACTTCAAAGATTAATGAGAAAAAGGAAGCATGCAGGAACAAATTAACAATCATATAGGGACATTTGAGGATGGGCAATATGATAAAAATCCTGATACGAAGAAATTCTGGGTGGATTTCTGTTTATTGCATTTTATTGCTGTTCGTCCCAGTTCTGTCCATGTCACCATTTCGGCCTGAGTTTCCAGGTTAAGGTGCAGTTCTAAACCATTTGGGAGCACACAAAACCTGAGCATCTCCAGCCTTCTTTTCATTCATTCATTTATTTATTATGAATTGCCCCATCAGGTCCTTTGACTGAACGTCTTATCCAAAAGTTTGACACATATAGATACCAATGCCCTTAAGATATGCTGATATTTGTTTTCCTCCTAAAATTATCGCTAATTTACAAAAAGGGTTCTAGTGTTTTTATTTTAGTATATTGCAAGTAAACTAATAGGTAAATGTAAAAAAAGAATTGACATTGTTACAGTCCTATTACATTAATTGCAAGGCCCAATAGAGATATGAGCTTTGCCAATATCAAAGAAAGTAGGCAAGGCAAGTTTATTTGTATATCACAATTCATACACAAGGCAATTCAAAGTGCTGAACAAAACAAGAAAGCATTAAAATCATAAATAATCACAGAACATTAAAAAGAAAGCTAAAGATATAAAATCCCTCAGTTGTATGCACAGCTAAACAGAACTGTCTTTAACCTTGTTTTAAACATTGTCAGAGAGGAGGCCTGTCTCACATCTTCAGGAAGACTGTTCCATATTTTAGCAGCATGATTCTGAAAAGCAGCCTCCCCATGTTTAGTTCTGACTCTGGGCACTAACAGGAGTCCAGTCCCTGTGCTCCTCAGAGTCCGGGCTGGTTCATATGGGACTAACATGTCACTAATATAGTTTGGTGAGAGGCCATGGAGAGACTTGTAACAAGCAGAGCTGTTTTAAAGTCTATTCTCTGAGCCACAGGAAGCCAGTGCAGAGACCTGAGGACTGGACTAATGTGGTCGTACTTCCTGGTTCTAGTCAGGACTCGAGCTGCTGCATTTTGAATGTACTGCAGCTGTTTTACAGCCTGTTTGGACAGACCTGTGAGCAGGCCATTGCAGTAGTCTAACCTACTGGAGACAAATGCATGGATAAGAATCTCCAAATCTCCAAGTCTCCAAGTAAACCTACTGTATAACGACATTCATCCAGACCTCACACCAGAAAGAAGAAATGTAAATAATTTAGCGCCTTTCATACAGAACTGCAACTCAATGAACTTTACAAAGACAGTGCAAAAAAAAAAACAGATAATACTAAAAAATAAAGTGAGTCTTTAGTTTACTCTAAAATGAGCTCAGGGACAGCGCACATTAAATAACATAATGAAAGGTGTTCTATTTACAAAGAGTGTGTGAATATGGGGAAATGCTATAAAGCTTATCAAGACAAAGAACATTCACAATAATATAAGAACAAGCTGAGAGTCAGTGTTCTACTTTGTCATGGCTTGGTTCAGATCAGAGAACTTAAATCACATTTGGTATCTTGTTTTGAAAAAGCTTGTTTGTCTGAAGGATCCAATACTGCACTGTAATAGCAAGCATGATCATTACAACAGAACACAACATAATGGCTAAACTGCTGTGGACCGAGCAATAAACATCTGGATCCCTATTCCTGTGGAAACTCAACAATTGTTCGAAAAGCATTTAAAGTGTCACATCTTGCGAGTACATTGAACAGAAAGAGGCTTAAACATGGACTAGAGATGAATAATGACATTCACGAACACTTTTGGCTTCTTCTCCATTCCTGCATGGACTAAAATGCGCATTCATCTTGTGTAAGTGAGTAAGTAATCTGTATTTATATAGCGTATTTTCACTGACCAAGGTCACCCAAAGCGCTATACAATGTGTGTAAATCAGTAACTTTAGTGTTTGTTTTAATTTAATGGGCCAGGGAGACTAGCTGATTGCTCGGCTTTCAGCTTTCAGCTAATGGGATCCTTATAAATAAACAATAAACAATGAGAAGAAAATGCTACATGACGCTATGATAAGTGCAGTGGCATTACATCTCATGTTAGTGATGATAAGTGGCCCATGCTTCTGTGTGTTGGGAGGTTGCCAGAGCTGCTGAGCAGTCAGTGACTCTGCCGACAGAGCGACTGTCATGGGCTGTGCTGTGATTGACAGGTGAGATAATCTGCCTAATACAGCACGTTCATGTTTTACTGATGTACGAGAGAGGCAGAGGCCCACGAGTCACTGCATCAGGCTGCAGCTGATCTGAAAACTATACACACAAACACATACAAGTAGGAATGTGCAGAGATGAGTGTGAGCGTCTTATAGAAAGTATTGGGAAATACTGTATTTTATTGTTTTGTGTCGTACAATTCAATAGGATACAGTATTTCCTGATACTTTCTATGAGAGCTGCTACTGGTTTCTCTAGTGTCTGCTTGATGACCGGGAGTGTAAGTGACTGCACTGAATATTTTACCCCAAAATAAACGTGTAAAATATAAGTTTTAACAAAATATACAAATATATTTTTTATAGAATTGCAATTTTTAATTGTCTAAATTGATGCACAGAAATCGAAGGATAAAAAATATTGTCTTACCCCAATACAAACACTGGTTGAACCAAAACAGTCCCTTGGCTTTTACTATGTCTTAAATGTATTTTTGTTGTTATTAAGGTTAGTTTATGTGTATGTATTGGTTCTTTAAATGTAATTATAAGCATGTAAAATGGATACAGTCAAAAGACGTTATTTGGAATATATTATGTACAGTATCTTGTATCTGGAAAAAAAAAACACACTATTGTAACCTTTTCAGGACCTGACTTCAAACACTTTTCTACACTTTCATTTTCCTGAAGTAGTTATGACCAATGCCTTTTATAGCCACCCACCACTGGTTCATTATGACGTTTATGTGGCCTGTGAGCTCTGCTGTCCATTACGCCTCAAATAGACTCCTCCTGAGGAAACACAACAGCACTGCAGAGAGCCCTAATATTTGACAGCTCCATCATTCAAGCCTAACAGTGCTTCTGTTCTGATCACAGAGAAGAGACAGGATTGACACAGAACAAGCACCAGGGGGAGCTCTTCTGTGTTTTGCACATGGTTTTGCAGTCTCAAAGGTCAAAAGTGTGAACAGTACAAGCCTTAGCCCTTTTCCTTGTATTGTGTTCAAAACAGTGTTCCAACCTCTTCTCAAACGATATATTTCTGTACATTTTGTATTTTATTTTTTGTTGTTTCAAGGGGCAAGAAATATAAGTTTAAAATGAATTATTGACTTCACTTACTCATCATAATTGTATTGGACATGCAATTAAAATACAGGTGGAGGAACCTCTGATAGCAGGGATCCAAATGCAAACACGGAGGACAGCTACCAGTGGTTCCTAGCCATTTTTGTCCAATGCATCCATGAGTGTACCCCTTCGCCAGTGTAGCCAGGGCACGAGGACCCCTGCTGTTAAAAAGAACAAAAAGTTACACACACACCCAGGGGTAAAACTCATTTTGAGCAAGAGCCACACACCAATAGCTTCTCTTAAGCCTTATGGTTATTCTATATTGCAGATTGATTGACAAAGTATTAATAACAATAGTTGCATTATCGATACAATGGTTTCTTGAGAAAATTGCTTGCTTTATAGGTCACCCATATAAACTTATTATTATAAATGTTTGCCTAATGATAATACTTAAGAATAATTTGAAATAGGTTGGTTCAAAGCAGGATGAAATACTAACCCTCTCCCCCATAACTGTCATTTTATCAAGCAAACATTATTTAGTGATTTGGTTCAGTAAGCAGTCAAAGCGTATCAATGTGTACTGTACATGCTAGTTATATTAGAATGAACTAAACATACCCATACTC